CAGGTGGAAACCGTCACAAAATTGCTGTATCAAGTGAAGAGAGCTCTAAGAGACCCGAGATTATATACAGGTTAAGGGGGGGGGGGAGGAGCCAGGAAAGGCCGTGGGGGGTGGGGGGGGGGGCTAAGTTAAGCCGCCTTTTGTTATGCTGCATGGGGTTACAGCTATTTTGCTGTGACGATTTCCACCTGAAGAAGGAAGCTTGTGTTGCCTCCGCAACGTCGTGATTTAATTTAGTTTTAATTTATTTTATTGATTTTTTTACCTACGTGACTTTACCCAAAAAAAACCAAAGAGTATGAATCCTTGCAGTCACGAAAGCTTCAAATCTATAATTAGGTTAACATCGTGCCACTTATCATCACAATGTCGGGTACCCTTCCTGTGTGTGACATCACAAGAAAACTCCTGGACTTTTTCAATTCACTTCACCCTCTGTCCCGAATGTTGATCCATTCTGAAACAATGTGACAAATTTTACTATTGCCAGCAGTTCTCTACAAGTCACGCAATAGCGCTGTGCTGTTCAGCGACGGAAAGCACGTGACTCCCATACGCAATTACTACTTCTGCTTTCCATTGTATTTGTGTCAAGACAGCACCTATACGGACATCACTAGAATCTGTATCGAGGATGAACGGTAGCGAGAAATCCCGATTTGCTAGTTGGGGAGCCGTCTTTAATTTGGATTCCTCGTCAAGGGGAAGCTGCCAAAACTCTGATGACAGATTCAATGTTGATTTGAAGCTTTCGTAACTGCACGAATCCATACTCTTTGGTTCTTTCGGTAAAGTCATCACGTACTTAGAAATAAAATAAAATAAATCACGACGTTTCGGGCGCACCATAAGCGTCCGTCATAAGGTGGGACAACCATAGCAAGAAAAAAATGCTGAAGTGGGCGAGAGAGCAACCTAACATCTGTCTGATGACAGATCTTAGGTTGTAATATATTTTGCTCCCGCAAATGCATCTAATAAATCATCAATACGCCGCAAGGAAAACGCGTCCGCTATTGTAACCTTATTTAGTCATCGGGAATCAACGCAAAACCCCATGGACCCATCTTGCTGTTTGACCAGTACCACTGGTGCTCCCCAAAGGCTGGTCGATGGGGGATTTATTTCTGCTCTCAACATCTCGTCGGTTGCTTTAAAGATCTGCTCTTTTTTGACAGTCCCACTATATTAATTATGTCTCACGTGTTGAGCATTCCCCATTTCAATGCAGTGCTGCATTAAATCCGTGCAGCCCAAATCATACTGGCCCTTACTGAAAATGTTGGTCTCTTTGACCTTGAGTCAATTCAAGGTTCCGTTGAACGATTTCCTCCACCCAGGCAGATTCTACACCATCCTTCACTTCCTGTATCCCTGCTACTACTACATCTTACTGAATCTCACTCGCTTGAGAAATCTGCACACTTCGACGTATTTTAAACTTGCATAAATAGCCAATGCTTTTGTCTTAACATGGTATCTGCCGCTGATATCGAATGTCGACTGATTGTTGATCCCAATGGTGACACTAATTGATGCGTCCGCACGTGAGGTGATTAATGGCGATCGATATTACAAGGGAACCAACACCTGTGCTAGTGGCAGAATCGTTATTGACTCTCTCACCAGGGCATGTACTCTGCTATCAGGCCACAAAAAATATATTTTCCGTACGGTGTTTCTTCAAAACATTTTTTTTTAATTCGTGCGTTCTTATACGCGTGTATTTGTTATGTTAATGGTGAGTTGTCTGTATTCTCTGGTTGTCTGGATGCAAAGTGGGCAATCTTTTTGCCGAATCCTGGACAGATGAATCAACACTTAAGACATGCCGTGAAATGAGCTCCGTTGCTTGACTGAAATGGGCATTGTCAAGATGAGTGCCAATTTATGAACTAGGTAGCTGGCTCAGGTTTCGATCTTGTTGACAAGGTCCTGTTCTTTTAGCAGGGCTGGTCGCCTTGTAAGTGATTCGTTATTGCGAGTTCACACCAATTCTGCTACAGGCCCCGAATAAAATTGTTTAATGCTCAGTTTAAATTGACACCTCTAAACGAGCGTTCATTCAAGCTCTGTCGTCCCGACAGTTCTGTTCTTTCACCTGAAGAAGGCTACTTGTGTTGTGGCCGAAACGTCGTGATAATTTTATTGTCTCATTTTATTTTATTATTTTATTCTCATTCTACGTGACTTTACCGAAAAAAACCAAAAGAAGACGTGTAAAATATTTCGGGGATAGCCCGCACCTCCATATACCCCGCAGGGTCTTGTTTTGTTTGTAAAAAGTGGTATACCCCGCGGGCTATATGCGGGGAACATACGGTAAAGATCAGCTGACACGACTCAACAAACCCTTTCAAATTGAATATTTAGGAAAGACTCCGCAATGTTCGTTGCTAATTCTTCGTTAACTGAACCTGCTGCCACTGCTGGTTGTTTCCTCCTAAAGCGTGGAGGCCGTGAGCTGCTGCTCTATTTGCAGTGCAACCTCGCATTGTGACGTCGTCATTACAGACGTGGGCGCCTTTTTCACCGCCCTGAATGGGTCTCAAACGGCGTGGCAAAAATGCGAAGCTCATCGCAATGAATGAAGGAAGATCTCTCACTCTTGACACCTTCACGGCTGCCCGAGACCTCCCAAAGGCACACTTCAGACTGTGTTGTGGCGGTTTCTAATTTAAAAAAAAACTTAAAATTTTATCTTCATGAGGCAATTCACGTTGAAGACCAATTATATTTAAATTGTTTTTAACACTACAAAACAATGTATTTAAAAAAAATACTTTTTGAAAAAAAAAATCTCATATCCAGCTGCTTGGGAGGCTGGCGCCCCAACGCCCCTAGTGGACGAACCGCGCCTGCATGCAACTCAGTGGGCAAATCTCGTAGAGTTCCAGAACTCCTCTTCCCCACACACGAGGGGGTGGGTAGCCAGCACCACGTCCGGTCTCCCCAGTGATGTTGTTTACACAACACACCATGTACCCATTTGAGGCTTTGTCGACCGAAGGGGGGGCCCAGGACTTATTCATATAACTGTCGCTGTGTTGGCCATGAACAGGAATCGAACTCAGGTTGCTGGGTTTATAGCACAGCGTGCTCACCGCTACACTACCACTCCCCTACTATTCTTACTCTCCACCGACTGATCACTGTCCCCTGTTTTGCAATGCTCTTAGCGAGGGCTTACTGAGACTGTCACAACTCGTGATGGGTGCTGTGACCAGAACTATGCCTTGGCCACCTTGGTTTCGTTGACGCTGATGTTTTCACTCCACACCAGGTACTAAGTTATGAATGAATACCACCCTACAGGAGGGCCAGGGTAAGTTAGGGTATCACTCGAGTAGCACTGTACAAACCACTGCGCTACCGCTCTCCTCCACATACACACTCTCGCACATATGAGACATACATTTTTATTGTCATAGTACTCAAGTTTATTCATATAAGATATATGTCAAGGTACCGTGTGATTGAACAGACAACTCCAGAATCACAATTACCCAAGTTACATAGACCTACAAAACCCCAGATACGAAATACACCACTGTATTCCAAGATTAATTAAATCATTAGCAACATGATGAATACATACCAGAAGCGTGTTATCATTAATTCAAATTAAATCATACGTCTGAACACTACGTTAAATCATTAAAAAGCATTACAATTCAAGCAAACTAGTCAAGACAGTCGAGTGATTATACAAAATTCCAATTCACCACGCTTACATAATGTGTGTAATCACCGCAGGACAAACCTCAAGTTATTGTCCTTTGAGGTCCAGCACTGACAAAAACGAATCGGGTTGCCGTGATGTAATGTTTCACGATTGCAATGCAAGACACGGTTTTTCATATTTACCGATAGCAATCACAATCTCGCACAGTAACAGGGCCATGTTCAGGGAAACTTATTTAGATTGTTTTCAATCGGAGTGGCAACATCTTCTCATTCTAACGAGAGCAGGGTAATAATTATATCCAATCATTGCCTCATATCTATTTTACAGCCTTAAGCCAGCAACGTAAACTCTACATTCCAATGGCGGAAGCTTGTAACTAAATGTGACAAAGTAGTACTAATTTTATGCAAACTGGATAAGAAAGAAGATGGGTCGGGTGCTTGACTGGTAACATAAGTCCTTTTAAAATATATAATCATGTTTAAGACAAGGCAGTTTGTATCAAGACTGCGTCTAAAGGCAATCACATCTCAAGATGCTGTCCAACACAATGGTACAAGTGCATCATGAGGAGAACGGAAGGAGTGAGTATTTACTCGCCAATTCCACTCTGCTAGGTAAAGCACACAAAGATAATTGTATCATCTGACTAAACAAAAAGGATCCATAATGTGACATGGTATGCATGGATACGCACTGACTGCTTCACATGGAAAAAGCATTTGGTGCTTATGAACGAGACAAGTAGCAATGTGAACCTTAAGATTTTGACACGAACAAGTTACACATCACAAATGTTTACAATATCATGTTTTCAGAATTGCTAAAATACGTAATGCACTACAAGAAAGTTATTTTCACAGTGCAGGTTCGTGTGTTTAAACTTCACATCTTTTAAAACTACGCATATATAGGTTGAACATATCTCAGACAATGAGCAGGTTGAGCCTGGATGGCGCTTAAATTATAATCAACAACGATGTATGAATTTCGATTTAAAGCTTTCGTGACTGCAATGATTCATCTTCTTTGGTTCTTTCGGTAAAGTCACGTAGAATGAGAATAAAATAATAAATTGATAAAATAAAATAACACAATAATATTCTCATGACGTTTCGGCCACAACACAAGCGGCCTTCATCAGGTGAAGGGACGAGACTGTCTGGTAGGACAGCGCTGGAGTGAAAAGCGCTGTCCTACCAGACAGTCTCGTCCCTTCACCTGATGAAGGCCGCTTGTGTTGTGGCCGAAACGTCGTGAGAATATTATTGTGTTATTTCATTTGATCAATTTATTATTTTATTCTCATTCTACGTGACTTTACCGAAAGAACCAAAGAAAACGATGTATGACATACGTGGCTGTATTGTGATCAGCAGTGGGCAATCCGGTCACATAACATATTCAACCAACTAAGTAATTTACGTTATTTCCTCAAGCAAAGGATGCCGTTTATGCCAATTCCAAATGACTATGAAACACCAGAAGTCCGAGCTACTCAGTGAAATTACCAAGCACTTTCTTCCAAGTTGGGAGAAGTGGTTTTCTTTACAAGCACGAAGCAGCCCGAGATTTTAAGTCCCATTCCGCTGTTGACTAAACTCAGTATTCATCAACGTCATCCCGACCCACTAACTGAAAATATCTATGACATAGCATTGGCCAAATGATGTCAACCAATGATAACGTTGTAATTGAGTCTTGCGCCAATGTTAATTACGATATCAATCAGAGAACACACAAAGCTACACCATTCCCAAATGATAGTGAAATATAAAATAAAGGATACGTTTGTTTAATGATCAAGATCTAATGGGCTACTGTAAATAAAATGCATTTATAGCACGAAGAAGGCGAATGACAAACTGACGTCGCATTGAGCAATTGTTCCCATTTAGTAACTTGATAATTGTGTTGAAACTATTTCTTCCATAAGTCTGCAATCGCCTCATCCTTTGTAATTTTTGTCCAGCCCTCTGGAATGGTGCCACGGCCTGTAAATTGTAGTTTGTAAAGCCTCTCTAGGTCTGACTTAAATCTGCAGACAAACCATTTCCAATATGGTTGAACGGTTAAGTCCGGCGTGATGTTCCAAGTTGCATATTTTGGCCCTGCTGTACGATAATCCTTATATGGTATTTCATTGTCTTCTGAAAGCATTAACCACCAGTCACTTGCAACTAAACTTGTACAAATATCAATGGAAAAAGTATCTGTTTTACACCATTTCCCCCCTGTCACTGCCTCTGGCCGATGAATCGGAATGCGGTGGTTTTCGTCATGACCGGGTATTGTGTTTGTGCAGATGGCTTTACAGAATGGGCACTGCACCCAGCACCCACTCATCTGTTCACGTAGCATGTCTTGAGGTTTGTTCCTTACGTCTTCTATATCCCTTATGGATGCTGTAGAATATTCTTTTTTCAACTCTGCCACCATGGTTTCCAATTTTGTGGCTAGTTCATATCTAAAGCAGGGAATGTCATGTATGTCTTTGTAGTCAGCTCTAATCAAACTGTGCCTTGGGAAATGGATGTTGTCACCAAGCTGTTTACAAAATTCATCCAGCCACGATGATCCATCGCCTTTGTTTGACTGGACGGCTGTGATTGAATTCGTAATTGCAGTGTAAACTTTTCCCGTGTAAAACTCAAGACAGGACTCAAATATTTCTCGAATTTTAATATTTTCTTTTGCTGAGCAATATTCCTCAACACCTTCTGTAATGTATTTTTCAAAATATTGTTTTGGTTTCTGAATGTATTCCTTAAATTCCACGAATTGTTCCTTCACTGCTAAATGTATCAAAATGTAGTTTTCTAAATTTGATCGATTTCCATTAAATGCCGGACAATCGGACTTCATTTTGTCTACAATTTCAAGGCTGGCTTTGTCACAGACTGCCTGGTGCATGGCTGTTAAGTTTTCTAGACACAATTTCAGCACATATAGTAATGTTTGCATCTCCTTTACATCGAATCTTAAAGCTGTAGAAGTACTCTTCTTTCTTGCTGCTGAAATATATTAGAGGATCGTTTGCCCTCTGAAAATCATCATCTATTTTCTGAAACCTCACTTCAGCATTTGCCAATCTGTGTATTGCTAAATCTAGCCTATACATATTTGTGACCTTTAGTCTTGCATGTTGTTTGGAACTTGAATCTACAGCTGCCAGCATAGAATTTATTACGTTATGCAGATCGGTTTGATTGTAACCAAGCTTTCGTTTCTCAAGAGATTTAATAACCTCGCCGGCTACATAGCGTGCATCCTCTGTAATTTTTTGGACGATGGCAGTTTCCTGTAAAATAGTGGAAGAGAAAAATGGATTAACCTGATTCCAGACGCCTTTTCGTTTAACCACAATATGTTCTCCATGACAAAACAAAAATGATTTATTTTCAGACATTTTTATCAATTTTGTGGATAATTTGTCTTCACTTTTAAAATGTGCATAAAGCGTATTTTCTGCTTGCATTCTAAAAGCTATTTTTCCAGGTGGGGTAACGCTTTTTTTCACTTCATTTTTCCATTCTTCCCACATTGTCTCAAACTTTTTTTCCAATTGGTCATCTTTCACTCCAGAGGTTTTCAGTTTCGAAGCCAAATCCTTGCTCTTTTTTAAAAGCTGATCCTCAAAGCTGGATCTATATTCATCCAGACAGTTCCATACACTCTTTTGATTCCTCAAAACAGTAATTTTTTTTGTAACTATCAGTCACAAGCTCGTCCTTAATTGTTTCAAATTTCACGATGAAGTTAGTTTTCCATTGACTCAACAATTCAGCAGCATGTAGTCGATTAAAATATGTTTCAATGTCTTTCCTGATCTGGTTGTATTTTGGGGAAAGGGTTTGCTCAATGTTTGACCTAGTCAAACTCGACAATACGTCTGTCCTGTTATTAATAATATTACACATCTTATTCTCTTCTTTAATAAGATGACTCCTAAGGCTCCAAGTACATTTCCCATACATGTCTTCAAGTTTGCTGTAAGCTGCACTCTCGTGGGAGTTATTGAAGCTAAACACAAAGTCTTCTGAAAGCAATGCATTCCACAAATCTCGGATACGATTTTTCAATTCTGATATTTTTAAAACGTGACTTTTTGTCTTGATGATGCTATCTTTAAGTTTTTTAACATGTTGGAAGTAGCTTTGATTTGACGGAGCCATTGGAGGATCGTCTTCCCAAAAGTGAGAAAAGAAATGGATCTGAGAGTGCACGTCGAACCCAATCACCTCGTCAAATGATACAGTTTTGTACTGCTCCTGTTCTGCAGCTGTGCGAGTCATCTCGTCTAACGTATCCTGGAAGAGTCTCCTTCCATCCATGACATTTTCTTTTACAGTCACATCCCCGACGTTTTGATGGACAAACACACAGCTTGGTGACAATTTCACCTGCTTCATTTTCAGAAATGCCTGCACTGCGATCTGTATAATGTTGTGCATCTCAGAGGGATTCTCTCCAAAAGTATTGATCACGGTCATGTTTGCAAGGCCGATCACAAATGTAGCCAGTTCATTGTCAAGAGTGGGTGTCGCATTTGATAGCTCTGGGGCACAGAGCCCTTCTGTGTCGACTATCAACACAAAGTCATATCCCAGCTCTTTGCTGAACTCTTCGTCCACCTTCAACAACTGCATGTGGACCCCTCGGGTGCATCTCCCAGCACCCACAGGGAACTGGAGACCGAACATTGCATTCAGCAGCGTGGACTTGCCACTGCTCTGTATGCCCAGTATGGAGAGGACAAATAGTTTTTTGTTCCCAATTTTTTCAATAACTTCGTCCAAAACTGAGCAAATCCAAGTGAGGGGGACATGTGAGGCATCACCGTCCATGAGTTCAAGAGGGATCCCAGAGAGCATCAAATCTGCTGCGATGCCTGGCAAAGCAGCCGAGGGCATGTCAGCTGTGCGCGGTGTCTGTGACGCTTCATAGATCTGCCCAACTTCCCTGAAAAGGTGATGGATTCCAAAAGAGGATGCCTCATGTTTTTCTGATATTCGTTCCAGCTCTGCTTGTTGTATAGACAGTAACCTACTGCCAATAACTGTTCTCCTGGACTCAAGTATTCCTTTCGGATCCTGGTGATACTCCTGATGAAGTTGTGATATGCTACCTGCAGACAGGTTATCTAAATAGATTTGTAGCCAATGCAGTGAGTATTGTTTTACTGAGTCTGCATGATGCCCCATATTATCAATGAACGATCTCATTAATTTATTGAGAGGAGATGCTTTGTGAAGCTGGGCTTCCCGTATTGATTGTTTTTCAATTGCAATGTTGTCCCTGTACTCTTCCACGCTTTGGTCCCCCTCTACTCTCAAGCGAGCGAATTCTTTGTCTTTCTTGCACCACTCGTGCCACAATTTACCTTGAAGAGGCAGAAAAGTCTCCTTCATGGAAGACAATGGCTTGTCCTTCAGAAGACTCAATAAGACGCCTGCCATAGACTTGCCTTGTTTACATTGTTCATCATCTTCATCAACACTGAAGCCGCACTGTCTAGCGATGTCTGAGCAATCATTAATTGCAACCGTTTGTTTTGATTTGGCCAACATATATTTGAGGTTTGACTTCAATTCATCCATTAGTTCAGCCTAATTTCTATTCTTGACACCAATTTTTACCTTTGTTTTATAATGTCCACCCAAGATTCGTTCTTTGTCAGCCCAAAGGCAAAGTAAAGGCTTTGGAGAATTTAGACAATCTACCAAAATGCTTTTAGCTTCATCATTGTTATCACAATCTGACATTAATATCACGTTGACAGTGGATATCTCGAGGAGAAACTGCACCTGCTTTTTGTGCTCTCTCGCATCTCCATGGAGATTTGTGAACGCTATGCAGTCATTAAAGACGTCATCATCCCTCCCACCTGGACAGTACCAGGCGATCTCTGTGACTCCTTCCATTAGGAGACCATTCTTGCTGCTGCCTCTGCAGTGTCTATGAAAGAAAACTTCATTCTTTTGCTTTCCAAGCAGAGAGTTCAGCATCTGAGATTTCGATGCGGGTGATTCACCAAACCTAATGAATGACACTAGAGGAGTGTCAGCGTTAACAATCGTACAGAGGTTGGTTTGCTGTGTCTCAGTAGATGCAGCACGGGATTTCCAGCTCTTTTTAATCTGTCGGAATGCCCATAGAGGGAATTCTATTTCTGAGCTACAAGGATTTGGAACTAAAAGCGGCAGTGCAAACTGGCAAAACGAGAGTTTGGTGTAAATGTACTGCCTCACAAAATTGTCTCCACAATGAAAAATTGCCATTTGCAAATCCATTGGGTGAACATGGCTTCGAGTTTCTGTCGTAGACCAATCTTGACTACTCACAATACCATCATGGTTAAAAATCTTTTCATAATTAGAGTTTTCATTCTGCATGGTTTCATTGTTTTCATTTTCACCCAGAACACTAACATACCGTGCTTCGGAGTCAAACATCATCAGTTTCTGCAAATAATGAAGAACAAGTTCTTCCTCTGTGATTGGGGCTTCTTTAAGTATTTCTGACTTAACAACACACATATGCTTTGTGTGCATTTTTTTCGGGTAGTATTCTTGAAGCCCCAGTATTTTACACAGATTCATAAACGTTTTCATCCCCTCTGTTTCACTCTCAACCTTCGATGTCTGCGAAGGAGCCAATGTGATAGTCAGTGTCCCAGCAACAAGAGATTTCAAAGTTTCCTCGAGTCGGTTCCAGTCAATGGGGCCTCCATCATAGACCAGCACCACGTTTGATACTTCGGTGCAGATGTTTGCATCCAAATAGGATTTCATGAACGTCAGATGTTCCTCTTTTTCCAGGGGGGTCCGTGAATTAGACTGTACTCCTGTAGTCAAACCGTTCAAGAGGACGTACGCCTGAGCCTTGAGAGCACTTTGAGATTTGAGAGCTGAGTACTCGCTGTGTGCCGCGTCCACTTGGTGCTGAAGGCAGTTAACGTCTTCATAGTCGAGGAGGCGGTCGAACGATCTCTCCTTTGTACGGAACCCTGAAGCAGCAGCACATGAAATGAACAGGAGCTCCTCCTCCATCCGCTCCATTTCTCGGAAGCACCGGCAAAGGGAATTGAGGGAAAATGTGATTTCATTGGTTCCCTTCACCTTTGCTTCATTCAGTGCAGTTTCAAAAGAAGTCGGTGCATCCATCGCTTCTTTTAATTGTTTCTTTGTTTCTGTAAATGTCTTGCCAAGGGCATTTAGCTCAGCATCAAGAACCCTGACTGTATCAGACCCATACACCCACTGCGTTATCGAGGAGCGCTTGGGGAAGTTCTCCACTGCATAGATGTTGGGTTCCAATAGGTACCGCATTTTTATTTTTATCCAATCGGTTTCGTCACAAGAAGAGTGCTTGTATGCCGATACAATCCGCGTCATAAATTCCTGAAGGGCTGGGTGTGAGAGACACGTGTCAATCCAGCTCCTGTTAGTTTTTGTGCATTCATACAACTTCTGTTTTAGATCCGCCAGCATTTCCAGATGAGTGTCATTGTCAGATTCTTTCCACTGCTTCGCATCTTCCATTATCGATTGCGCTTTGACATTTATGTCAGCCAATTCATCCTCTGGATAATTATGTACTTCTTTTTTTGTTAAAATGGTGTAAGCTTTTTGAAGATCACTGGCCAACTTCAGGACATCTTTAAAATCGCATTTATGATTGGACAGGACGATGTCCCATACTGGTATAAACCTGATTCCTCGGTCGATGAGAGACCATGTCCTATTGTTGACAACAATAGCAGATTCCCACTGAGGGAGATTATGTACATCAGGATTACCCCCTGTTGTGGTTACAGTCATCTGTATCACATCGGTGAGCACCGGGCTGTAATGTCCAGAATCACTTGGAGCTGGCTCAGTTGTCATTGCAGTACCTGTATCAGTCGTTGTACTACTGCCGCAGTCGGCACCAATGTTTGGTTCGAATAACTCAGACAAGAGCAGTTTTATTTCATCTTGCTGATGTAAACTGAAACCTTTAGCTGATGCCTTCCTCCAAAAAATTCCTCCAAATTGGAGAGGACCCTCGTTTGCGTGAGAGCCAAAATTGTGGAAGAATTTGCAGCTCATGCTGGAAAACACGTTGCTTTTAAAATCTTCCTTTGTATTTTCCAACGTATTCTCAATAATTTGTAGCTCCTTCAGGGCTGCTTCAGACAGCCTGAGTTGTGCCATATGAAGATTACCTGAGGCTAGGGGCAGGTACGTAAACTGTGTCCTGGAAAGATAGGAATGATCAGTCTGAGTATTTTGCATTTCCTTAAGATTCATTGATTTGACTTGCATTAAGGCTGGTTTTCTACTCAAGGACGAGACGCATCCTTTCTCGGAGACAGTGTTGCTGAAGCCCATGACTTCCATGGTCTTCCTGAACATGGATTCATCATTGAAAGAAATAAACTCGTGTTGTTTTGTCTCTGACCTGCCGACCAGACCCACGAGCCGGAATGTTTGTGGGCTCGTCAAGAGTTTTCCTCTCTTTTCTAATGCATCCTCTAACTTTCCACTCATATAAACCCCCTCTAGAGCAAGACCCCCTGATGCGTTTTGTAAAATATCTGTATCTGACAAACAATGTGTTGAAACAGATGGACATATTTCTTGGGCAGGCTCGTGAATTCTCTCAGACACGACAGAAGGCAACAGATTATCAATTTGTATATGTGGAGCCAAGCTCACTGCCTTTTTAGCACTGACAACACCATCAGCAGCAACAATGCCAAGCATTTTATAAAATGCTCGCTTTTCCCACTCTTTACGGAAATGTGAGTCCAGTTCTCTGCTGTCCTGCTGGTCGAGGTGAAGCAGGGCCTGTGCATTAGAAATGAGCAGAACCTCACGCAGTTTCTGTTTCCAGTAAACTGTGTCAAGACCCACATCTCTGAGCTTTTGTGCAAGTTCATCGTCAGCCTGGCTTCTGCATTCCTCTTCGTCCTCTCCAGACATCGCCTAGGGAAAGGCACGTTATTACAATTACAATGTTTTACAACAAAAACTTTAAAATGGTAAAAAATATAAGAAACTCGTCAGAGAAGTGCGTTGTAAAAACATAAATGATAAGTGCATGCACATCATGGCAAGGGTACACAGTCGCTGTACCTCTCGTTGCCCAGGAACCAGATAAATAACATTGTGAGCACATACTCTTTGGTTCTATTGGGTAAAGTCACGTAGGTGAAAATAAAATAACAAAAAATCACGACGTTTCGGCCACAACACAAGCGGCCTTCATCAGGTGAAGGGACGAGACTGTCTGGAGGACAGCGCTGGAGTGGAAGCTTTAAATCTAGAATTGTGAGCACAATGAGCCATCGATCAGCCTCCCATATGTACATTCCTGTGGTACAGCGATGGAAAGCGTGTACACTGTACGACGTACAACTGTCTTTGACCATTAAGTATGTATGTGTAATGAGTCCACCGGATGAAAGTTGAGATGAAACACTCCTCTTTATTTTCAACATCAGCTCACGCTGCGTGTGACCACTCAACTCAAAATCCCAACAGGAAGCGCCCCAATCGCCCTGCCTCTTTCAGTGACGTCACCACTCCCCTGCTGGGCGTTTCTCTCACACTCCGCCTTCTCTTTTCGTTCGTGACGTCATTTTAACAGTAACCTGGGATCCTCCAGATCGTGTAAGTGTAATGACTGAAAATTACCCCAAGCCAAGGTGCAGCCTAACGGCTATTAAAAAAATGAACCAAAGTATCAACAAGGTTTAATTTCGATTTAAAGCTTTCGTGACTGCAAGGATTCATCTTCATTGGTTCTTTCGGTAAAGTCACGTAGAATGAGAATAAAATAATAAATTGATAAAATAAAATAACACAATAATATTCTCACGACGTTTCGGCCACAACACAAGCGGCCTTCATCAGGTGAAGGGGACGAGACTGTCTGGAGGACAGCGCTGGAGTGAGAAAGCCACGCTGAGATCACGACCTTTAAGCTGTGTGAGAAGAAACAAAGTGCCTTGACAAAGGAATTAGCATATAATTTAGCATTGAAATGGCTGAGTGATTAGCTTGTGACTTGTCACAGAAAAGGCTATGTTAAAGTTAAAGCATACACATCCGCAAAGGCACCCCTTGACAAAGGAATTAGCATAGAATTTAGCATTGAAATAGCTAAGTTAAAGTATACACATCCGCAGAGGCACTCCTTGACAAAGGAATTAGCATAAAATTTAGCATTTAAATAGCTGAGTGATTAGCTTGTAACTGGTCACAGAAATAGCTATGTTAAAGTCAGAGTATATGCATTTACCGAGGCACCTAGTACAAATCAAACAGGATAATTTAGCATTGAAATAACTAGGCGAATTTAGCATTGAAATAACTGAGTGAATTAGCTTGTGACTGGTCACAGAAAAGGCTATGTTGAACTTAAGGCCTATACATCTGAGCTATTCACAGTAACTGTGTATACAATACAATATATAATGAATACTATATAGTGAACCAATAAAAAATACTAAAATATAAATTACCTCAATGTTATCAATAAACTCTATATTCTCCAATCAGCTAAGCTACCAACAATAAGTCGTTATATATCACAATGCTATATGGCGAAAAATGGGTGGATTCTTACCCTCAACTTTAGCAACACGGATAGCTGGCTAAAGTGGCCCCTCGGGATAGAGTCATCTTGTTGAGTGACTTCAATGCCCCAGTTGGTCATGATGCTGGCACCTGGTCTGGAGTGATTGGTAGGTATGGGCCAGATCATCTGTAAGATGCACCTGCCATTATTCCACTTCAGTGGTGGGTGTACACCCAGGACCCCATTCCAACCTAAGGTGGTCTGGTCTCAGCTAGCTGATGGAAGTTGCAAGTGAGAATTCCATCATCGCTTGCGGCTGGGGTTGGCATCGTCACCCACTCCTCCTGTTGTCGACGGTAAATGGGCGAGGTTTAGAACTGTGACGCATGCAGCTGCAATGGCTGCTTTTGGTACGCGGTCCAGACCTCCCCAGAGCCCTGGCCGCAGAGGAGGTATTCCGGATGGTTGAGAAAAAGCGACAGGCCCACTCTAATCGTCTACAGCATCCCATGTCAGAGAATGAGGAGGCTTACCACAGCCTTCGCTCAGAGGTTCGGAGAGCCGTGAGGTGCTGCAAGGATGGGTGCTGGTCGCGGATTGCTGAGGAGATGGATTCTGCCTCAATGGCCCGCGATCACAAATCCCTATTTAACGCCATCAAAAAAGTAACTTGCAGCGCCACACCTATTACCATCATTAGGGGAAAACACGGTGATCCAATCTCCGACCCCCAGGAACAGGTTTGCAGTTTTGCTGAGCATTTCTGTGAGGTCCTGGGGGAGGGGAAATCCTTCACCCTGGAAAACATCATGGTACAAAGTGGGGATGATCCTGCTGAGGTTGCGGTGCCTCAAATATTGGAGGAGGAGGTCACCCCCTGTGAGTAGCTGGCTGAGTGGCATCCGTTGAGGAAGTACTGAAGGCGATCCAGAGTCTGAGACCAGGAAAGGTGAAATGCTGAGGGAGGATGGCGTTTGTGCGCAGACTGCCCTACATGACATCATAACAAAAGTCTGGGCCACTGGACGGGTTCCGCAGGATTGGAAGAATGCCCTGGTGGTCCCCCTCTTGAAGAAGGGGGACCGCACAGACTGTAACAACTACAGGGGCATCTCACTCCTCAGTGTGCCGGGAAAGGTCCTGGCAAGGATTATTCAACATCGCCTTGCCAGGCACGCTGAGGAGAGGCTTGCGGAGCCCCAATGCGGTTTCAAGAAAGGGCGGTTGTGCACAGATACCACATTTTCTGTCGCTCTGCTACAGCAGAGGTGTAGCGAATTCCAGCAAGACCTACATCTCTGCTTTATTGACCTGGTCAAGGCCTATGATACCATAAGTAGGCCTGGACTCTGGGTTGTTCTTCGTGCTTTTGGAGTACCTGACCCTCTGCTCACGATCATTAAGGACCTTCATAGTGGTGAGTGGGCCCGGGTAAAACTACGTGGCAGGGAGTCAGAGCCATTCCCTGTATACCTTGGGGTGCGACAGGGATGTCCTCTGGCTCCCACATTATTTAACATCTATTTTGACCACGTAGTTCGTGAAGCTTTCAATAGCTGTACCGGGGGAATCTCCATATGGTACAGATATAATGGGAGGCTGATCGATGCCCGGGTGCGGTCAAGGGATGGCTCCCTATTGCTCAACCACGTTATGTATGCCGATGATTTGGTAATAGCTGCTCATTCAGAGGAGCAGCTGGAGACGCTGCTGCTGAGACTGGAGTGTGCTACTAAGAGGTGGGGCCTTAGCATCAGCCCCACCAAAACGAAGCATCTGCCTGGGTATTTTGTACCATCGGGCACTGCACCCCCACAACTCCCAATCGGTGATGGGGCAGTTATGGATAGTGGACAGTTTTCCATACCTGGACAGTGTGGTCATGACAGACTCCGGTTTGACAGCAGAGGTCTCACTCCGAACCAGCCGAGCGGCATTATCTTTTCATTGGTTGCGTAACGCTGTGTGGAAGCTACCTGGTCTGTCGCTCTGCACGAAGCTTCAGGTCTTCTCGGCCACAGTCATTCCCTCCCTTCTCTACGCTTGTGAAACGTGATTAGAAACATTTAGGCTGGCCTGCCTACGATCAATCTTGGGTTTAACCAGGCTGAATTGTGAGAGGAGCTCACAAATCCTTGAAAGATCTGGACAAAGTCCCATCAGTAAGCACCTCTGGCAGGCAAGGCTGCGTTGGCTGGGCCATGTAGCCCGCATACCCAATCACCGCATGCCCAAACAGCTTTTGTTCAGCCGGATCGATAGGGCTAAACGGGCGCGGCACGGGCTAGAGAAGAGATGGAGTGACGTGGTACAGGAGGATGTGGAGCTGAGTGGACTTGCCGATGACTCGTATCAGCGGTGTAAAGATCGGCCTCTGTGGAGGAGGCTCGTGAAGGACGGTACTGGGCAGTTGAATCCAGCTCACTACTTAGCTCACTACTTAGTGAACTATTTGTCTTTTGTCAACGTGACACTTTTTTCAGCTGATTGGCGTGTCGGGTGGTGGAGGGTTATGACACATTTATAAATTTCGATTTAAAGCTTTCGTGACTGCAATGATCCATCTTCTTTGGTTCTTTCGGTAAAGTCACGTACAATGAGAATAAAATAATAAATTGATAAAATAACACAATAATATTCTCACGACGTTTCGGCAACAACACAAGCGACCTTCATCAGGTGAAGGAACGAGACTGTCTGGTAGGATAGCGCTGGAGTGAGAAAGCCACGTTCAGATCACGACCTTTAAGCTGTGTGAGAGGAAACAAAGCGCCTTGACAAAGGAATTAGCATATAATTTAGCATTGAAATGGCTGAGTGATTAGCTTGTGACTTGTCACAGAAAAGGCTATGTTTAAAGTTAAAGCATACACATCCGCAGAGGCACCCCTTGACAAAGGAATTAGCATATAATTTAGCATTGAAATAGCTAAGTTAAAGCATACACATCTGCAGAGGCACCCCTTGACAAAGGAATTAGCATAGAATTTAGCATTGAAATAGCTGAGTGATTAGCTTGTAACTGGTCACAGAAATAGCTATGCTAAAGTCAGAGCATACACATTAACCGAGGCACTTAGTACAAATCAAACAGGAGAATTAAGCATTGAAATAACTAGGTGAATTTAGCATTGAAATAACTGAGTGATTAGCTAGTGACTGGTCACATAAATGGCTATGTTGAAGTCAAGGCCTACACATCTGAGCTATTCACAGTACTATATAGTGAACCAAAAAAAAATATATAAATTACCTTAATGTTATCAATAAACTCTATATTCTCCAATCAGCTAAGCTACCAACAATAAGTCGTTATATATCACAATGCTATATGGCGAAAAAATGGGTGGATTCTTACCCTCAACTTTAGCAACACGGATAGCTACGGGCCCCGTTCAGACGG